TTGATGTATATCTGTATTGTATTTTTTTAGAATATAAATGCTAACTTCTCATAGGAGCACTTCTATTGAAAAACTGTTACTGCAAGAAGTAACAGATGGTTTAACTCTGAAAGAAGATAAACCTTCTGGTGAAGTGAAATTTTCGGATTTGACAGGATTAGTAAATTCATCTTTATTTGATGAATTTACTAATGCTTGACAATTTTCAGGGTGAATTCTAAGTAAATAAAAATACCAAGTTGAGCATTTTGTTAATTGTTGTTGTTGTTGCCATTTTAAAAAAACAATGTGGTGTTGCTTTTTATTTTTTATTTTTTTGGCTTCATGTGATACTATTTAATTATGATTGGTTTTCAGTCACAATGATCAACTTTTTTTTTTTTGCTGCAACAAATTGATTGATCAGCAATAAAAGTGAAAAACTGTATTAATATTATGCAATAATTTCACGATTGTAAACGATTATCCATTAATACTGAATACTGAATTTTTCATATTTAGTTTGTTAAATTTATTTACTTATAAAAAATGTATAAACTTGAGGAAATAAAAATGAAAGGGAACTAAAAATAAAATAGAAGTTGTATTGACATTTCTTTTTTTAAACCTTTGAAAATAAAAATATCATATTTAATAAGTTATTATATTAAGTTATTATTAAATACTTAATATGATATTAAATTTATAATATTAAGTATTTAATAATAAAAATATATAATATAATAATAAATTAAACTATAATAAACAAAATAATTATACATTTTCTGTTAGGTTATATATATATTTCAGTAAAACTTAAAAATTCTTTTCAAAACTTTTAAAAGTGTTTTTAGTATGCAAACAAACATTACTTCACTTAAACGCCAATAAGAAAATTTTTAAAAAAGGTACACTTTTAAATAAAGCAGTGTTTTAGCATGGTTTCTTTTAAAGTAATAGCAAATGCATTCATTTTACAAAATTACTTTCCTAAATAGCGTGCTTATTTATATAAGTTAAGTAAAAATGAAAGTAATTCTCTTTTAGCTTAGTTTCCTTTAAAGTCATTGAAAATTTGTTTTAATCTAATTATTTTTTTTGTTATAATTATGTGTTTTTTATAATACATAAAAAACTATAAATGGCATAATTATTTGGAAAAAAAATTGCTGAAGTAATGCATTCGTTTAAAAAACTTGTAAGTGAGCGCCAACCTTTGCTCAAGTAAAAGTAAGAAATGTGATGTTTGTTTTTCTGTCTGTTTTTTAATAAACATTTGCACGTTCATCGATTTGCCTCACCCTGTGATTACTAATAAAATTCTTTGGTTAAGTCAAACCTTGGATTACTTTGTTACGTTGAACCATTTTTTTCAGCAGATTTTTCTGTTTAAACTTTTTGTATGGGAAATAAAAAATTCAAGATAATTTTTTTTATGAAGTCACTCCACATTTATTTTTTGTATTTAAATCTGATTAGAATAGATTGTTATCAGATGTAAAATAACACAATGATTAAACTCTTGCTAAATAAATCATAATAAAAACCATTAAAAAAGCAGTTTTTTTCATTATTAATAAATTTCTTAATAAAAGATTGCTAGCTTTTAAATGCAATTTTATTAGCAAGTAATAACTAATTTATTATGTTGCTGAATTTTTTTCAATGTTATTTTTTGAGTGTATTGCTTAAATACAATATGTAACTTTTTTCACTGAAACATTTTTTTATTATGTATATTTAATGTTTATACTTTAACATTTAATAAAGAACAATTTTTTAAATTTGAACTAATATCTCATTTCAGTGAAAGTTAGAATTTGCTTTAGTCAAAATTTCTTCAAGTTGCATCATTTTTCTTGATCTTTTGTAGGTTGAAGTTATAGGGAATTAACTATATATATATATATATATATATATATATATATATATATATATATATATATATATATATATATATATATATATATATATATATATATATATATATATATATATATATATATATATATATATATATATATATATATATATATATATATATATATATATATATATATATATATATATATATATATATATATAAATATATATATATATATATATACATATACATATATATATATATATATATACATATACATATATATATATATATATATATATATATATATATATATATATATATATATATATATATATATATATATATATATATACACATATATATATATATATATATATATATATATATATATATATATACATATATATATAAATATATATTTATATATATATATATATATGTATATATATATATATATATATATATATATATATATATATATATGTATATGTATATATATATATATATATATATATATATATATATATATATATATATATATATATATATATATATATATATATATATATATATATATATATATATATATATATATATATTTCTTTTGTTCCTTTATTCAACGTATATTTTCATAAATATAATAAATTTATTTAGATTCACTATTGAAGCTGGTTTTAAAAACAATGGCTTGACTTCAAAATCAAAAGTAAATATCTTGGTGTTAAATGGTGATGTTCCTCAAATAAATCTAAAAGCCAAAAAAAAAAAAGTTTCCCACAATGAGCCTATAATATTTATAGCAGATGTAGAAAATGTTAAAATGAATTTTAATTACACTTGGTTTTGTAGCTACAAATATGGTATAATTATTTTAAAATTTTGTTTTGTGACTTTTTTTGCATTATGGGTTTAACAATCAAAATCAATCAAAATTAACCTCTTATAAATGCTTTAATCCTATTTTCCACGCTCTCAAGAATAAAGTCATATAAAAGTTCACAGTAGCATATTTAAAAACTTGGTTCTCTCTTGGTTCTCTTCATGGTTCTCTCTTGGGCACCTAAGTTATGGGCTAAAAAATAGATAGGTGCATTAATCTATTTTTTTCTTTTTTTACAAATAATTTTGATTTGTTTTGAATTTTTCACTGAGACAATGGGTATTAGTTGTTCATGTAACCAAGGTGTCTAACTTTACGAATGCCTCATTCAATTTTTTGTGAATGTTTTAATAGGCAATTTTCAATGGCTTTTTTAATATGATCTTTTTAAAATAAACTCCTTCATGGATGTTGAAATATGAACTTGAGCTTTGTATTATGTTACTTTGTTTGAATTAACTATTCTATATAAGGAGTGCTTTGCCCAGAAATAACTAGTCTGTATTTTTTTTTCAAATCTTTATAAATTGACAACTGCATTGTTAAGTAAAGACTAAACTTGCATTATTTCTTGTGTTTTTTGTGCAAAAAAAACAACATGCACAAGTTTTTAATTAATTTTTTTTAAGACAATGCTTGAACATTAATGGTTTTAATGCTTAAACAATTTTATTTTATTCTATTAGAAAAAATTATTACTAATAAAAAAGATTAATAGAAAAAATAGAAACTTTAAAAAGAATAGAAACACTTTTGCAAAATGTTATTGCATTATTACATTAGTTAAAAAGTTATCAAAAATATGCGAAAAAAAAGTCATCTTTTTTTAGAACACAAATCAAAAAATTTAATTTTGACTGAAAAAAATTGAGTATAGCATCAAAATAATATTTCCAGTATTTCTTTAAAAAATTTGGCTGGCATTTGCCATTTGGCAACCGCAACTGTACATCACTGTTTTAATCCATCTACATCTAAGTGGCTCTACATCTCTATACAAAAAGTCCTCAAACAGTGGTTTACTATCATTTTACATTTATCAATTACAGTTTCTAACTATAAGTGGTACTATCTTATCTATCACTGTATGAACTATAGTTGGTTTTGTTTCAGACTTCATTTATTAAAAAACTGTCAATTATATGAGTTGGAGACATAAAGTATGGAGACATAAAGACAGGAGTAAGTTTCAAAGCATTGATTTGCAAGGAAAGATATGAATAGTTTTTAGAGCATGAAGGAACATATACAGTAAAACAATAGAACTTTCTTGAATGAATTCAAGCAAGAATGAGTTTTGGTTGATGGAGCTAAAGATAATAATTCATGATAGTTGTTTGAAATGTATAACTGAGTTTTGTTGGAGTTAAAAATCATAATTCATTGCAATTTCAAAAATATTTGAAGGTTCAAGATCGAAGAAATTAGATTTAAGACAAGCTGTCTGTTCTAAGAGATCAAAAAGTGACGATTTTTTGTCGACTTTTGTCGACTTTTGATGACGTTTGACGACTGCAGTATAATTAATAAAGATCTCACTCAGATATGAAGCAACAATATGAAGCAACTTTATGGAGAATACTAAGATTATAATGGAGTATAATTGATAATCATTAAAATACATAATAAAAACTAAGTGACAGAAGATAGAAGGAGAGTAGAGGTTAAGTAAAATTAGGGAGAGTAGAAGTTAAGGAAAGTTAATGAGAGTTGAAGTTAAGGAAAATTAGGGAGAGTAGTAGTTACTGATAGTTAGGGAAAGTAGAAGTTAAGGAAATTTAGGGAGAGTAGAAGTTACTGAAAGTTAGGGAGAGTAGAAGTTAAAAAAAGTTAGGGAGAGTAGAAGTTAAGGAAGTTTAAGGAGAGTAGAAGTTCAGGAAAATTAGGGGTTGTCCATAAAGTATGTATTAATTAAGTATTAAGTGATTATATAATGTATCTCTCAGCTACACTATATAATCATTAAATACTCTCAGATACACCATATGAAGCAACTTTATAAAGATAACAAAGCTAAGCCTATACCTTGCTGCTTCATCTAATGAAGCAAGCAGCAATCTAATGAAGCATATCAAAATCCATATTGATTTTGTAATTAGATTTGTCTAGTCTGAAACCAATAAACTGAGTTTTGGACCTGTACCTTCATTAGGAGACAACAGGAAGAGTTGCATAGCCACTATCAAGGACTACCAAGCAAAAACTTATGAGTAGAGTAAAGAAGATCTAGCACTCACCATTTTTGGCAGGATTATAGATTAGATGTAAACCTGTGTTACAATGTAACGCAGGCTTACATCTATGCCAGTCTAATATCTATCTGAAGGAGATGTTAGAAGGCTAAAGTTAAGCATAAAAACTGTCAGGAGATTTTACAAATTTTTAACATTTTTTAGAATCAATATATTTTATAATTATATTGATTTAAAAATAAATAAATAATATATATAATAATTATAAATTTTTCTAGATTTCTAGATATTTATCTAGATAGTACATTTTGATGTAATTATTATAAACCATATTGAAGAGGACAGTAGACTTACAATGACTGCAGAAAATCATCTTTGAAACTAAAAATGATTTTTTTGGCATGTTGATAAAAACTATAAGTGGTTAGGAAAACTATATACCTATATGTATTATGATGCTCCTAGAATGTTTTGAAATTGCTGGATATATTTTAAGATTATTTTCTTGCACTACAATTATGTAGTATTTTAACCCGTAAAAATATGTTTTTTATTTTTTATTTTACTATAGAGTTTTTAAATAACAAATTGCCCTATTTTTGTTACATTAATTTAAAGATTGCTGCCCCATGTCAAACCCTTAGTTCAACCCTTAGTAGCAACACTCACTTGCAGCAGCAGGCTATAAGATAGTTGATATATTTACTGAAGCCCCTGGCAGCAGACTATTTCTGTGCGACTTCAGATATATATATATATATATATATATATATATATATATATATATATATATATATATATATATATATAAATATATATATATATATATATATATATGTATGTATGTATGTATGTATATATATTTATTTTACTAACACATATATATATATGTATTATTCTGTTGTTTTTTAGTTTCTTTTTTTTTTTGCAGATGATACAAATCAACCACTTAACCATGATTCTCCTACTTTCGTTCAAGTCAATTCAGTGTTATTTCCAGGTGGACGTATACCTACAATCATTAAACAGTTTCCTCCATATTCTTTTGATTATGGTCGTTTTGTTGCTTGTAAATTTTCATTTCTTTATGAAAATCAATTAGTTTATGCTTATGAAGAGGTTGAAATAGTCATACCAATAAAAGATGCCATTATTATTGCTTCACCTCAGTCTGGACTTGCGTATGAGGATAAATTTAGGTTTCGTGTATCTGGCTGGCATCAATCAAATGTTTATTTGTTTAGGTTTGGTATTTATGCTAAGTATAATACAAACAAAGAAAGTGATAAAATTTATAAATCAATGTGGTCAGCCCAAAATTGGATTGAAAATGTTCAATTTTTTATGGAAAAAGGTAATGGTCCAGGAAATCAATTAAAAATCTTTTATGAAATTATGAATGATGAAGGTTTTGTTACTACAATCATGTCAGAAATAGTTTTGAATCCTTTTAATGCTCAAAATGGCATCAAAATTGCAAAAAAGGTTTGTAGTTACATAAGTTTGTAGTAATCATGTCTTATATTATATATATATATATATATATATATATATATATATATATATATATATATATATATATATATACATATACATATACATATACATATATATATATATATATATATATATACATATACATATACATACATATATATATATATATATATATATATATATATATATATATATATATATATATATATATATGTATATATATATATATATATATATATATATATATATATATATATATATATATATATATATATATATATATATATATATATATATATATATATATATATATATTTCCCAAAAATTTGAGTATATTTGGAAAAAAAAAGACCCTTAAATGACCAAAAGCAGCTTATTTTAACCATCCTGAAGCCAAGACTGCGGTTGTAGTGTAGTGGAAGAGCGCTTGCTTCATAAGCGAGAGGTGAATTAACATAAAAAAGAATAAAAAAAAGACTAATAAAATTTTTTGATAAATGTTTTAGGACACAAATAAATATCTGAATTTTTAATCAAAGGTATGGTTGTTTTTTTTCCCCTAAAAATAGTATAATTTACAATTTTAAATTGACTGAAGTTTACTTATTATGCTTTTCAGCATTGTTTTTAAAATCTTTACAATAATTAAATTGAAACATTTTTTAAATTTCATAGCAATGTTACATCCAAAAAATAGGTTTTAAGTTTTAGTTCAGGTTTCCTCATATATTTTTATAGAACTTTTCAGTGTCTCTTCAGGATGTTGTATCAAGTAACTTAAAAATCAAAAGGTAGCGGTTTTTGAAAAATCTGAAAAAGGGGTGTAAAAAGATCAGCTTCATTTAAAAATACTTATTGTCCTAACTCATATACTTGATTAGCTATTCAATATCACAAAGGTTTGTTTATACTGTTAACTTACAATTAAAAAAAAATATTTGCAATCCAAAGTTTTAAATTTGTTAATATAAATATAAAATATCTCATTTTTTCAATCTATAAATTAGTACTGCTAAACAATTCAGCAATTCTTTTGCTTCTAAGAAAGTACTTTGAACTTTCTTAGAAGCAAAAGAAGCTTTGTTTTTGAGTGAGCTGATTCAGACGCTTGTACATTGTATTGTCCAAGAGAATGGTCAGTAAGTTTAATAAACTGTTGCAAGTGAGCTGAGATCAAGTGTGTTTTCCGGTTCACTCTAAGTTTCTTTCCTAGAAACTAATAAAACATTATGTAAGATAGATTATGATAATATAAATAATATGCTAATATAATAATAATAATAATAATAATAATAATAATAATAATAATAATAATAATAATAATAATAATAATAATAATAATAATAATAATAATAACAATAATAATAATATAAAGTCAATTTAAAGCAAATTGTTTCTTAACAAATTTACTTTAAATTTTTGAAAAATTAACTGTACCTCTGAACATAACTACAGTGCTGCATTGTAGGAAAAAACTAAAGTCAGTTATTAATTGAAGATAACTAGAGTTAAGATAACTTTGGAAGGTTCCTTGAACTGGTTACAGTTTTTAGGAAAAAGCCTACATATTTTGCCTTCATATATTTCCCTATGGTATCCTCTTCTAATACTTCTATCCAAGTGAGTTGGCCCAGTCTTTGTATTTAGGCTAATAAAAAGCTATATAAGTTGATATGATGAAAATGCTCTCATCAACACACCAAAAAGCTCACATTCTCCTTTACACCAAGCACAAGCTTACTAACTGCCATGAGACTAAATTTATATTTTGTTTTTTAAAGTTTAAAGTTAATGAAATTCCTAGAAAATAATTAATTATTTTCAAATCAGCTGCAAGAACATATTTGCAATCTTCTAGCTTTAAAAGATCTAAGAAACTAGCTAAATTTCTGTGTGTTTTCTGCATGTTGTCATATACAAGAACCACAGAGTGGTTAATTTCAGATTATGTTTCGTGAGAACTGATTTTTGCATTGTTTATTTTCTAGGTCAAAGAGGTTTGAAATTACCCTATGTGATCTGCCACCTAGAAAATATTAGTTTTAATCAAAAAAATACATGCTATTAAGTTCATCTCATAACACTTTTACTTGATTCAATTCCATATCAATGTTTAGTAAGGGTTTTGCTTTGTAAGTTATTAAAAAGTTGAGTAGCTCAATTAATTGAGAAACATAAACAAGGTCTCTTAACACATCTGTTGACAATTTTTTTTTCTTCTCGTCAGCAATAACTGACTTTACATCATAAAGTTCAGATAGGATTATACTTTTTTAGTAAAGTCTTTTTTCAGGATTTGCCTCCATTTGAATTCCACTTTTCTTAAAGGATTTCAGAAGGATTTGAATTGATTTAATCCAAGTTGAATAATTTCAGTTTCTTTAAATTTGACTTTCCTTATAACTAATTGAAGAACACCAATAGTTATAGGTAAATAGCTTGAATATAACTAATTGAAGAACACCAATAGTTATAGGTAAATAGCTTGAATATAACTAATTGAAGAACACCAATAGTTATAGGTAAATAGCTTGAATATAACTAATTGAAGAACACCAATAGTTATAGGTAAATAGCTTGAATATAACTAATTGAAGAACACCAATAGTTATTGGTAAATAGCTTGAATATAACTAATTGAAGAACACCAATAGTTATAGGTAAATAGCTTGAATATAACTAATTGAAGAACACCAATAGTTATAGGTAAATAGCTTGAATATAACTAATTGAAGAACACCAATAGTTATAGGTAAATAGCTTGAATATAACTAATTGAAGAACACCAATAGTTATAGGTAAATAGCTTGAATATAACTAATTGAAGAACACCAATAGTTATTGGTAAATAGCTTGAATATAACTAATTGAAGAACACCAATAGTTATAGGTAAATAGCTTGAATATAACTAATTGAAGAACACCAATAGTTATAGGTAAATAGCTTGAATATAACTAATTGAAGAACACCAATAGTTATAAGTAAATAGCTTGAATATAACTAATTGAAGAACACCAATAGTTATAGGTAAATAGCTTGAATATAACTAATTGAAGAACACCAATAGTTATAGGTAAATAGCTTGAATATAACTAATTGAAGAACACCAATAGTTATTGGTAAATAGCTTGAATATAACTAATTGAAGAACACCAATAGTTATAGGTAAATAGCTTGAATATAACTAATTGAAGAACACCAATAGTTATAGGTAAATAGCTTGAATATAACTAATTGAAGAACACCAATAGTTATAGGTAAATAGCTTGAATATAACTAATTGAAGAACACCAATAGTTATAGGTAAATAGCTTGAATATAACTAATTGAAGAACACCAATAGTTATAGGTAAATAGCTTGAATATAACTAATTGAAGAACACCAATAGTTATTGGTAAATAGCTTGAATATAACTAATTGAAGAACACCAATAGTTATAGGTAAATAGCTTGAATATAACTAATTGAAGAACACCAATAGTTATAGGTAAATAGCTTGAATATAACTAATTGAAGAACACCAATAGTTATAGGTAAATAGCTTGAATATAACTAATTGAAGAACACCAATAGTTATAGGTAAATAGCTTGAATATAACTAATTGAAGAACACCAATAGTTATAGGTAAATAGCTTGAATATAACTAGTTGAAGAACACCAATAGTTATAGGTAAATAGCTTGAATATAACTAATTGAAGAACACCAATAGTTATAAGTAAATAGCTTGAATATAACTAATTGAAGAACACCAATAGTTATAGGTAAATAGCTTGAATATAACTAATTGAAGAACACCAATAGTTATAGGTAAATAGCTTGAATATAACTAATTGAAGAACACCAATAGTTATAGGTAAATAGCTTGAATATAACTAATTGAAGAACACCAATAGTTATAGGTAAATAGCTTGAATATAACTAATTGAAGAACACCAATAGTTATAAGTAAATAGCTTGAATATAACTAATTGAAGAACACCAATAGTTATAGGTAAATAGCTTGAATATAACTAATTGAAGAACACCAATAGTTATAGGTAAATAGCTTGAATATAACTAATTGAAGAACACCAATAGTTATAGGTAAATAGCTTGAATATAACTAATTGAAGAACACCAATAGTTATAGGTAAATAGCTTGAATATAACTAATTGAAGAACACCAATAGTTATAGGTAAATAGCTTGAATATAACTAATTGAAGAACACCAATAGTTATAAGTAAATAGCTTGAATATAACTAATTGAAGAACACCAATAGTTATAGGTAAATAGCTTGAATATAACTAATTGAAGAACACCAATAGTTATAGGTAAATAGCTTGAATATAACTAATTGAAGAACACCAATAGTTATAGGTAAATAGCTTGAATATAACTAATTGAAGAACACCAATAGTTATAGGTAAATAGCTTGAATATAACTAATTGAAGAACACCAATAGTTATAAGTAAATAGCTTGAATATAACTAATTGAAGAACACCAATAGTTATAGGTAAATAGCTTGAATATAACTAATTGAAGAACAAAATACTTTAGATGATTTAATCAATTCGAAAACAAATCTAATAAACAAATTGCCAGTATTTAGATCTGCATTCCATGCTTAAGTTTTTTTTTCTTATAAATCGATCTTAAAACATTCAAAGTAATTTTTTCCTGAATTTTTTTAGAAGCATTTAATAATTTAGTGGAATGATTTGTGCATGTATTCATTTCAGTACATTGATGTTGAATTCTTCTCTCAATTGTGCACAAGCAAATATTACACATTTTAATCGAACTTACTTTGTTTTTTACCTCTTTGTTTTTTTCATATATGAAAATCTGGATCTCACCTTTAAACAAAGTCTGTATGTTTCACAATTTCTAGAGCCTACATGTCTAGATAATTGGGCAGATTGTCATTGAGTTTAAATTATATTTGGTATGTCTTTACTTTCAGTAAGTTTACTTTTTGTATATTGAAGATATGCCTACATA